GCCTTGTTTTTTTTTATCTGTTATACATGACAATTATTTATTATTAAAAAATAAAATGTTCAATTTAATCAATCATAAACAATTTAATTATTATTAAAAAGAATATATATAATATATACAAACATTTGCAGGCCTTTTCCTCGTGTTCTTATCTAATCCAGATTCGTCACTTTCTTCGGATTTTGATGCACCATAGATTCTTTTTCATAATCATTGCTACTCTGTATGTTGATATTTTTTTGTTAATTATGACCCCCAAAAATAATATCAACAATAATGACAATGATCCTCCTCACTCTCCGTGGGCTCAAATTCACTCGTGGAGTCAGTTTGTGCTTTTTAATCATCGTTTTTTCATCCAATCTAAAAAACAATTACTGCCATATGTAGAAACCAACAAGATCTTTTGCATTATCTGTGTCCAATTCAAATTAAGTGTTCCTTTATAAAATAAAATATCTATTGAATTTTTACATCTTCTGAATTCATCATTCATTTGAATGTTGTTAATATGTATTGGTGAATGTAATAATTTTTGAAAATTAACATCATGTCAAAACTATCCATTCTGTATTCTTTCTTCATTAACCATTTCTTCATTAGCCATTGTTATAATCAAATGAGCAAGACGATTGGTTGTTGGCTGTAACGACATTTTGGTAAACTTGGGTTGGCCAACCAATAGTTTTTTCACTTTTATTTATTTATTTTAAATATTTGTATATATTAATATTTTCTTTTATTAGAATAAGCGTTATTTATTTCATTTATATTTATCTTTAATCATTTTTACCTTAATCATTTATTGTATTTAACAACTTATTTATTCATCGTCATTTCACAATGTAAATATTATTTTTTTTTTCAATTCCACGTGGTGATAATAAAAAATAATTTATATTAATATGGACGACTTTAAGCCTTTTTTTCTTCTTTGCGAACTTTATATTTATTGTAAAGCATTTCTAAAATGTCGACGACATGCATCACATAAATCTGTTCTTGTACTCATGTATTAAGTATCATGACTTGAATTTCCGGTGCTAATTAATATTAATATTAATATTTACGAAATGCGATGCACCAATCAATCATACTTGTCAATCTCAAATTATTTCCTTCTTTCCATACTGACAACATTTGCGACCCATTTCTGGGACCCGGTCGCTTTGCCGACAAGCATTGTCTTAACAATTTGCCAAGGATGTGTG